GAAAGCACTGGCGACACTTAAGAGGCAGGTGAGGCAAATTTGAGCTTTTTTCTCTCCTGAAATCAAGCACTGGGGGGTATTCAACCTCAGAAGAAACATTAAGGATCTTTCAACATCCAGGCTTATGTGCTTCTTCCAAGAGACGTGTAGACGGGAGACATGAAAAAGGAGCACTTGATGGAGATGAACCAATGAGCATAATTTTAATGCAGAATTCAAGGGACAAATGTCAATATGGGTTTCTATTCCACTCCCTTTTCCTGCGGCTCGTACTGGGGGGCTGATCTTTGCCAACCTCTCCGGGGATCTTGGTGGCGTTTCCAAGGTTGGAGCGGTTGGGTGGTACTTGACACGATCTCGATGGCTTTGCTCTCCTTGATTTCTCCTTGTTCTGAGGTTTGCGGAGACAACAGGAAAGACAGAGACCCATGAGAGGGGTTCACCTCATCTACCTACGGAAACGCTATGTGGAACATCTTTCAGAGCACGACAGGTCATCGCGGTAAGTTCTGATGCAGAAAGGTCTGCGGGTCTGCAAAGGGACTTGGGGAAGAAGATCACATCTGTTTATCAAATTGCAAGAAACCCTCTGGCTTTCAGTATGAGAGAATGAAAATGTCGCGATCTGCCTACATAATGGATAATTTTTCTGTGAGTGTGAATCAAAACATGAAAAATAATAACTCAGGCTGTGCTGATGGAGTCTTTGATCAATCAAAAGATAAAAAAAAAAACATAAGAAAAATCTGAGCTGAATAGCTTCAGCTGCTTGTTAGAGTAAATACATTTTGGAGATTCATAATTTCATTTTAAAAGCTTAAGGGGAAAAAAAAATTCTCGGGGTCAATTAAGAAATAATCTGTAAGTTTTAGAATTAGTAAATTTACTAAAACACCCAGGAAATGACTTCCCTTTCCTTACTCTTAGGTCCTAGTGCTGTTGGTGGTGGACCCTTGTTCAACCTCTGGATCAAAAGACCCTGAAGGCACCAGAAGAGGTAAGAGGGGAAGGGTAGGGTCCTTTTCCTTGGGAATTAAATGATATTTGTGTGTGACTTGCTTGAATCGTGGTGATAGTCAGGTAATACACTTGCCCAGCGTTGGTGTAGCACTCCATCTGTCCCAACACAAGACACGAAGGATGACCAACATCATTTCCACTTTCTATAAGCTTGGAAAGTGTGATGGGATGTTACTTTTTGGGATTTTGAGGATGGGGTACCTAAGGCAGTAGCTATGGTTCTCCAGGGGTGGTATATTAACTCACACCCTGGTTAGTGATGAGAGAAGCCCGTGGGCTAGTTTGGGGTGTCTGCTCCCCACCCCTCCACAGCTTCCCCAGGGTACAGGTGTGGTCCTAATGGCCATTCAGGCCATCCAAGAGCTGCAGCAACTTCTGGAGGAGCTCGTTGGACCTTGTGCTGAGGAGTGGGATGGGCTGGGCAGAGTGTCTGCGACACCTGGGGTGAGTGTCGGTGCCAAGACCTGCCCTTCCTGGGTCCTTCTCTCAATTAACAATCATCTTTGCTGGAAGAGTAAGATCAGGGCTCTGGGAACCCCTGGAGAGGCTGAGAAGATGGAGGGTGAAATCCCATTATGTCAGGGAACTTGAAAATCTACTGTCAACTTCAGGATTTATTCTACAGTGGTTTTGTACAATAAAAGCACTTTTATTCCCATTTTCTCCCCTCCCCTATCCTACAAGACTCTGCAAACACACCAAGGGTTGTGGAGCTCAGGCTGGGCAGGGGCTGTCCTGATGGTCCCACTGTGCTCTCTCCATGTCCTCCCAGTAATAATAACTGCTTTCATTCTTTGATAGATAGCAAAAGGTGTTTTGCCCTCCGGAATTGAACTTTTTTCTTTGAAAAATTTGAAATGAAACATTCAAAACGAAGAAATGCCTTTCTTAAAATTTTTCCAGAGGTACTCGCTCTTCCTCAAAATTTACTTGATTTTTAAAGCCAACATTTTCTGATTAGTTCATCAGAAAATCCCCAGCCCTTTCTAACCGCAGAGGAAGAGAGGAGGGCTGGAATAATTTATTGGTGGCTTTCTTGCCATTTCGTCTTTCTTTTCTTCTAGTATTTGTGCGTCCTGTCCGTTGACAAGGCTGTCTGTTGCGTTGTATAAAATCCATATGAACAAAATGCTTTCACAAAAGAAAACCAAAAAATTAATCTATGCTTTGAAACCACAATAGGTTTGACTCTTATAATTAATAAAGATATTTTTTTTATGACTAGTGAGGGAACTATGATTTCTATTAGTCTTACAAAAAAACCCACCCAGCATTCCTATTTATAAGAATTTCAATTTTATCTATTTTTTTCCTCCCCCCCCCAGGGAAATAGAGAAGCAAGGGAGATGTAGAAGTTAGGTGAACCCTGGCTGAGTAGGTCTGAAGGAGTTTGCTCCTCTGGTAGATCCCACCTGCTGGTGTGAGGAACCAGAACCTTCTGGGCTGGCTGGATGGCTGGACACAGTGGTGGCACTGTCTAATTTTAAAAAAAATAAATAAATCTGAATAGAAGGAAACACAAGAGGGCTGTAGCCCCATCACATGTGTTACTGTCCCCAGCAAGTCTGAGTGGAGCCACCTCGTGCTGCTGGAGCAGGTGCCCCATCCCTTCAGCTGCTGGTGTCCCAACGTGGTCTTTTTGTCTATCATGTCCAGAAATTTTTCACACCCTGGCGGTGCTGAGCACGTGCGTGGAGGTGCGCCGAGGAGAGGGGAAAGCTCGTTGCACGGAGAGGCGTTTTGACCTTGCAAACTCAATTCCTCTCCCGCAGCCTCAGAATTTTGGGCGACGTTAGGCTGGGCACACGGCAGCCCGTGAGGAGCCAAGGCTGGGCACCGGCAACGCTCTGCCTCAGCCACGCAGGGCTTCTCCTGCCAACGGGACCGAGAATTGCCGAGGACACCTTCCAAATGGCAAACGGCGCTAACTTGCGAATGTGCATTAGCATAAATACAGCAGTGCCAAAGACAGCTGACTAAAAACGAACGCGTAAATGTGGAAGCATGCATTAATCCCTGGGTTTTTTTTTTATTTTTTCAGATACACCATTGCCCACTTTGCATTTTAATTTTATGCTATGGTGGCGCAATCTGCCAAAAAAACAAAACCCAAACCACCAAAAATGTCCTCGCTTCTGACGCGCAAACCTTTGTCTTCGCCAGGATCCTTCGAGCACTGCCGAGGCTACCCCGTCAGTTGTGTTCGGCTTCAAGATAGAGATCGTGAGAGTAGGTGCCAACCAATTTTCCTGGTTGCTTCAGACAGGTTTAACTGGCGTTATGTGTTAGCTAAATGGCAACTGATTGAAATTAGACTTGTTTAGGCGATACTTATATTGCACTCCGTATTTAATTAACCATTTTATGTTGAATACAAAGAGGTTGTCTCGTTGCGGTCATCGTTGCCTGCGGAGTATCCAGATGACTGTAAGATGGGTATGTCGCTGCCGTTCAAAACTGTGGGAAAAGAGAGGATATGCTGGTCTGGGAGAAGGTTGATACACATGGGAATGGGATGAGCGAAGGTGTAGGGAGGGGTAGCCTCGAGCACCTGTGTGCAAACCCACGACACCAAAAAAAAATTTCAAGGTCCTGCTCTGTTTAATGGGGATGCAGCCAAGTTTTGACCTTGCATGATGGTAAATCCACAGCTTGTTACACCTTTTTTTTCCTCTGTGTGTCAGCGTGGAGACTCCTCCAGCCAGGGACCTCTTTCCTGGAGCCAAGGGGATGCCTCACCAGCTCACGGTTGGGTTAAAGAAACAGCAGCTCTGTCGCTGCGACAGCGAGGAAGAGGGGTCTAATGTAACGTTTAAAAGTTGTTCCTGCAACACTTAAGAAAGAACGATGCAGAGGAGAGAATAAATTATTGTAATTGGAAGTCTATTGTGCTCTCAGAAGAAGAGCGAGCGCATTCATCAGCCCATATGCCTCAACAGTTGGCTAGAAGAGTAGTCAAAATTTTCCCCAAGCCTCTCCCGTTTCCCTAACCAGTGTGCAGTTTCCCTGAGATACCCATATGTTTGCAGTTGACTATTAAACTCTTCTGGAAATTAATCTGGTAACACAAAATCCTGCAGGATAAAGGAGTCAACATCTTCATCTCTCCCCCTTTTTAGAACAGATCATGACTTGGACCAAGGCTAGAAAATCGAAACTTGCAGTCTCACTGTGATTTAAATTTCCTCCCCCAGCCTCCTGGCATGTCACAGGAATACAGTTATTGCCCTACAGAAATTATAATTTTCCTATCCTGGCTTCCCGTTCCTGGCAGTGATCTACAGCAGATGCTCCAGCAGAAGACAAAAAAAATAGTTAGGAACCAAATGGCAACAAAATTCTGTGCAGGAATGTCTTGGTTCCCATGAGATGTTTCTTCCACAGCAAGCTCAGGAGGTGGCAGGGGTATGGAGGTTCTTCTGTGGCAAGAGAACACCTTTCTACAATGGCCTGGCGAGACCCTCCAGGTACATCAGCGTCTACATCCGATTTTAGTGCTCCTTGCCTAGCTCTGTATGGACCTACCCAATATGAATGTGTTTGTGTGGGTTGATCACATCATGGAAACAACACACCCCAGGAGAGGGTAAAGATCTCGGAGTTCCGATCGGCTCAAGCCGCGCACGACTTCTCTGCTAATCTCATGGCTTTCAAGACTCTCGGGTGTCCTGGGTACCCGTAATACCCGTGACCTGCAGCTCTCTGAAACGAAGAGCCATGTGTTTATTTGGAAACCTTCCTGCCCCGTCTCAACAGCCGTTTGTCATGTTCCCTAATGCCACAGCTGTTTGGTTCCGCCAGGTCATCGGCTTTTCTTAGTCCTGTTCCCCCCACCCGCTGAAACTCACACCAGCCGCGAGAAGGTTGTTATCCGCCTCCAAAAATAGCCCTTCTCTCATCGCCCCTCTTCCAGCCGCTTGGGAAACTCCAGCGTTTTCCCTCTTTTCTGCTTTCCAGCTCTGCTGCCTCCCTGCTGCCCCATGAAGGCCGGAGTAGCCGCCCTTGCAGCCGGGATCCTCGGCGGCACCGGCATCCTCCTCTTCCTCCTCGCTTTCGGCACGGATTACTGGCTTTTAGCTACGGAGACCTGTGGAGTTTTCGAGCGTGAGAATAAAACCCTGGGGACCGGCGAGGTGAGTTCAGAAACCTCGTGACTGATTTTATTGAACTAACGTGAATATCTAGATTTTAAAAGTTTTAAATCCGGATTTACGCTCGTTAAAAGTGAGCCTGGGCTCACTTGAAAATCTGAACCAGCATTTTCCATAGTATCTAACATTTTGACTGGAGTAAAGCGCGTCTAGCAAACATTAAGACAGCCCCTCTGTAATCTGCCAGATATGAACATTAGGGAATGAAAGAGCTTTGCTTGTTGACAGCGTTTGCCTCTAAAGACAAAAGATATCTCCTGATATTTCCCATTAGAAGACTTCTCCCTCTGTAGTTTCCTCATTTAAAAATAGTTCATATTTAAAGTGCAGAACCTGGCAATCATTTACATCCAAAGTGATATGACTAGAGCATGAGGAGAAAAAACAAAAGTGAACGTCAGATGCAGAATAGAGCAGATAAAGAGTTCTAACTCCCATCCATCTGACAAAACAAGGCCTGTAATTGTAAAATTAAGATTAATATAGGATTTTAGTTAGCAGAAAATGTAATTTTCGAAGGCCAATTTGGTATTTTAGTGCTAACTGCTGGTGTCACGTGTTTATAGATCCTTTCAGAAGTTTGATTCGAGCTGCACTCGCTGCTGTCTGACTCCTCAATGAAATATCAACCAGCTCAGTTCCTCGAGCCACTCGCTCCGCAAAAATGTTTTTGTGTCGATCAATGCGCGGTTTCAATTACAAAAGGACAGGAAGATCCTTGTCGTGTGCAGACTTTTTGTTACTTCAAAGTTCAATCCAATTAGGTTTGATTTCTTTTTATTATTATTATTATTCTTTTTTTTCTGGTGGGATGAGTCACTCTGGCTAAGCATCATGATGCTGGCAAGAAATATTTTCTTTCATTTCAGAATCCCGTAGTCAAATGTAGTACAGTGTTCGCTTGAGTCATGGTTCCAAATGATTTTTTCTATTGAAAATAATAATAAAAGAAAGAGAGATAGGAAAGCTGCCTGGCAGGAGACACTGTGTTTAGGGTTAAAAGCATCCAGTGAAGCTCTGGAAATGGTGGTGAGTCCCGGATGGAGGAGTCTGCTCAGATTTTGGGCACTTGGGAAATGCCAGTGTTAATTGTTTCAGGTTTCTGTTTGGGCTGTCGTCTTTTCAAGTGGAGACATTGCACTGCACAACACAAAAAAGCCTCTCAGGCACTGAAGAGACACCCTTGGCCAAGTGCTCGTGTGCCTCTCGCTAAGGCAGAGCAACTTCAAAAGCACCAGGAAGAAATAGGAACTGGTTTTTTTACTTCTTTCCTCTGAGCTATTTTATTTCTGTTTCAGACGTCGTTTCTATTATTTCTATTTCAGTCGCCGGTTGTGTACAACGGGCTCTGGGGTTTTTTTTTTACCTTCTCTGCCCTTTCTCAAACTGGCAAATCCTGTCCTTTACAGATAAGGATGGTCTTGAGTATCTGCCAACCAGCGATTAAATGTGCCGTCGATGCTGTAAGGCAGCAGCCATCCGCATGATGAAGTTTGAGGGCTGCGTGCTACCACTGCCATAAGCAGTATTTTATCTTGAAAGTAAAAGGAGAATCAGGTCAGAGCTCTGGAAGCAGTCATCAGCTGAAGGCATAAAAACCTTGAGGTGAGGGAAATATCTTCCAGCACCTCCCCGTTGAGTCCTGCCTCTTTTCTGTACTTCACAGGGTCCCGTCCTGCATGGAGTTTCTCAGAAAACATAATTTCATAGCGGTGTGATAAAGATAAAACTGACTTTGGCTGTAGTTTTAATAAGGTTTTTTTTTGGTAAATAGTCTATGACTCAACTTTGCAATATCGTCCCTTCTGGAGAGACCTAAACCTGGTGCTTCTCAGGTCTGGTCTGGGGTTGAAGTAGAAAAAAAATGAAAATTAGAAAAAAAAATTGGAAAAAAAATGAAAATTGGTCAACATCCCTGCCATGGTCTGTGAAACAACTAGTGTGGGCAGAGTAGTTTGTGTCTCACCTAAGTTC